GCACAGGGAGACAGCTCAGGGGGCAGGAGTGCATACAGGGATGGACACAGGGAAGAGGTAACTATTGGGAGGAAGTAGGAGGGGAACTGTTGCATTGTGGCAAATTGTGGTCAATGTCATGAGACAAAGTGTATGTGAACTGCTGTATGGAAAGTGAATTTGCTCTGTAAATTTTCACCCAAATAAAAAAAAAGAAAGAAAGAAAGAAAAAATTCAGGATACTATGAAGAACTGTACTCCAACAAATTTGAAAATCTGGAAGAAATGGACAGATTTCTAGAAACACACCAGGGCAATAAGGCAAGAAAGGGAAATCAAAGGCATCCAAACTGGTAGGAAAGAAGTCAAACTATCCCTATTTGCTGATGATATGATCCTATACCTAGAAAACTCAAGAGACTCAATCAAAAATCTACTGGAACTAATTAAGAGATTTAGCATAGAAGCAGGATACAAGATCAGTATTCAAAAATCTGTTGGATTCTGTAATGCTGAGCTGCCGAGACAGCAGGACACGGAGTTGTTTCAGAGATGCAGTTTATTAGCAATCCCGGGCGAGGTTTTCGTGCCCTTGTATCAGGGCCAGAGAAGTCACACCCCCAGACAGGGAGGATAGATTATTATAGGCACAGAGAGGACCTAATTGGGGACACTAAGGAAATGGTGGGGTCCAATTAGCTATCAGCACGGGTCTACACCTTACTAGCATAAGGGAGTTTCACAGGAGGAAGTTTATTATCACATGGGACTTTCCAGCCTGGGCGGGTTCCGCCACCTTGGCTGTCTTATCAGGGCCTGACACCTGGAGGTACTAAAATTAACATGCCCAGTTGCTAACTGAAATGTTGGTGGTTTGAGTTTACTCCGGCCTAACAGATTCCTCTACACCAGCAAAGAGATTGCTGAAAAAGAAATAAGGAAATCAATACCATTTACAATAGCTACCAAAAAATAAATAAATAAAAATACTTGGCAATAGATTTTATCAGAGACACAAAAGACCTATACAAAGAAAACTATAAAAGACTACTTCAAGAAACCATGAGATCCTCATAAATGGAAGAACACATAACAACAACAACAACGTGCTCGTGACTGAACATTGTGAAAATGTCAATTCTACCCAAAGCAATCTATACATTCAATGCAATCCCAATCCAGATCCCATCAACATTCTTTAA